ATCATCTAATTTAGCTTAAAATGTGTAGCGTTACATACTGTACCTCAAAAAAGAATTTTTTTTTTGGTAATTTATAATAAAGGTTAAAGGCAGGATTGTAAAATACCTAATTTTTTAAAGTTGTTCTGAATAAGTTTAATAAAAAAGCAATTGTGTATATAATAAACACATTACGTCATAACGTTAATTTATAGGAAACGGGAACCGTAAGTCCGGAACATCTTAACTAAAAAAAATTCTTTTGTGCAACTCAATTATTGAGTGGGACACTTTTGTGTTACATTGCCTGGTCGTATATAGTCCTCGCTTCGCTCCGGATTAATTAACCAAAATAAGAAGCGTCGCACGACATACATCACACACGGGCCCACACGTCAAATTACTTGGATTCATCTGATGATTAAATAAGAAAGATTTTTCTTCAAGTTGTAATTGGTTCTTGTTTATTTGTTAAACAGAGCCAAACTTTCTTGTTCATTACCTAGCCGTAAACAAAATATATATCCGATAAAGGTTACATTCTTCGGAACTTATATCTTTTAAAGTAATTATAAAAAGAAACAACAATAACTGATTAATCCCTATTATGCATTACTTTGTTGATCAGTTACAAGTCCCAAATTAAGATTATCATCATTTTCCAAACCAATTTTTTTAAAATTAAAAGAAACTCGTTAGGTTGTTTTTGAAAATTGTTATCGATTTTTCATTTTTTTTTTTTTTTTCATTAATTTCATCAATTTAATAAATGTTGTAAAGTCGAAGTTTGGATTGCAAAAGAATAATTTCTGTGCAAGCTTTCTGAATACAAATCCATTCAGCCCTAAACAACCAAATGATATCATCATAACATGATTGGTATCGAAACGTGTTCATATTACAAACATGTCAAAAAAAAAAAAACTTTAATTTATAATTCTTATCATACATATCAGTATCCTTCCTTGTTACAAAATTTTATGATAATAATTAGTATTGTTTCTTCATGATTCATGATCAAATGCATATATATATAAGTTTGGCTGAATTTTTTTTTTTTCATTGATAGATTCTAGAATCTAGACCTTTTCACGTGGATCATCAATTTGCGCACAGACTCATGTATAAATAAAACGGCTCAAGATAAAAGATTTTTTTTTTTTTTTTTTTTTTATAAAAAAAATTTATGAAAATATTAAATTAAGCTTATAAGACTCATTATATTAAGTTGATAAAAAAATCACTTTTTACATAAATTACTTTTCCCTTAATATCAACCTTTTTTCCTTACGTAAAAAAAAAAATTTTTCTTTTTGAAAAAAGAAAAATGAGAAAAATAATTGAATTTATTATTAAACACATTGATAATAATACGTTCAAATTTAAGCAAGACATAGCAAGGCTATTACAAGCATTTATTATGGATGGACACTTAAACGTTCCTCAACCCAGTGATCCGATAACGATGTTCAATACATTGTCGAATATCAACAGGCCTAGAAGCAGAGCGACGCACACCCGAGGTGTCTTACGTGTTACCGTGTCACAAATAGCACAACAAATCCAAATATATGACGTGAATGTCATTAGTAGGGCGACAGACATGTTGAAAAATGCCATGACTTCTAACGATAGAGAAGGCTTTCACTCTTTGTCGACTCAAGTAAATATCATTATTGATAGACAATAATGAACGATTAAGCATTCTCTTTTTTTCTTATGATCCTTAAATCGAAAATATCTCGTGTAAAAGTTTTTCTTTAATTTGCATAGTGGTGAAATAACATACTTTTAGATGTGTAATATAATGGCAAAAAATCGATTGTCTCTTTTTTTTCATAAATCTGAATTATCGCAGTGTTCGTGTGTACATTTCATTTTGATCTTATTTTTTTTTTTTTTTGTTTCGATTATAATAAAGGAGATGAACTTTTCTCTCTTATTTATATTCTTTATCAAAGATTTATCATTATTCAAAGAACGTATGATTATCGTCATACGACTCATTTGCATCATTCATGTAAAACTGTTCAACGATACACGTTATATAATGAGGGTTACGTGGTTAATTGATCTTTACTGTTTTAACAATATTTATGCGTTTGATAATTGTAATTAATTTTACAAAAATTCATACCTAAAAGGGAATCTTCGTTTATTAGAGTTTCGGAACTCGGGGCTTTTATAACAAAGAAGAATATTCTCACGGTCTAATTCGGCTAATCGAATATAAAATTCTCGAATGATGTGCTTGAAACATTTAGTTTGTATCGAAGGCATATGTAATAAAGGGGTTAACGCCAGAAATTTGTTTCAGGTAAATTGTAGATATTATAGATGGTAAGGCTGGGCGACGTTCATGACGTATTATTTGTGCTACCGAGATCTTTAAAGAATGATCGGTAATTAAAAAACATATGCAGATTGTTCGATTCGAACCAACCTTCGCATTTGTAACGCATAACGCTAGAAAGAATTCATTATCATATCAAGCTTTACGGCATAACATGGCGCAAAATGGAAAGGACAGAAAAAATTTTTCGTTAATGCTAAATCTGGCACAAAATAAATTTGGTTTTTTCCCCCCTCAAGTATATAAATGCGCCAATTTCACGTGTCTATGTGGAAATAACAAGGAACCATCCCCAAGACTCCGGGTTTAATAAAAACCTGGGTCTATTTTAAGCATCTTGCATACAATCATCACGATACATCTCATTATTTATAGAGCAGGGGTCGTTCATTATTCATTTTATCATATAAAAAACGCCGTTAAACAATGTATGTTAGCTCCGATTGAAAATCTTCATAATAATAATAATATAACATTTATTTAATGACTTGTGCTTACCTAAAATAAGTTTGGTTTATTTTGACTATTGATTCTTTTAAATGGTAAAAGAAAATATTCTAAACATTTCAAGTTCGCCCGAAAATCCTGTAGCAATATTCGGATCGGCATAAATTGAAAATTTCAGTATATTATCGATCAATCGCCGATATCATCAGGGGTTACGACGAAACGTGACCCCTGCGATATCGGCGATTGATCGGTGATAAAAATTGGCATTTAAGTAGATCACGTGTCACAGATACGAAACTTTTATAAAAGTTTAAAAATCAATTTTATTTTAAATAAGTTACGTTTTTAATACTAAAAAAAAAATGTTCTTAAAAGATATGTTAAAATTGATAACAAAGTATTAATTCAAACCAAAAAATATAAAATATCTATAAACTTTAAGATCATCAAAATTCAAAATATTACTGACCAAGAAATTAATAAATCAATATAACAAATTTCAGATTATAAATATGTATCTATTATAATTTCTTAAATTATAAATTATAAATCACAAGATTTATATTTTCAAATAATAAAAATAAAGAAAAAATATTAATGTTTATCAAATATCATTTTAAAATGTTATTAAGTTTTATTTTAACAATTATTACTTATATTTAAAATAAATTTTTTTAATATATTTAAAATTATATAGTGTAAAATAATTTTATTAATAAATACATTCTAATATAATTTTTAAATATTACATTAATATATAAAAACATTAACAGTTTACTTAAAAATTTTAACTTTATAATAAATCCAGTAAAATATTATATTATAGATGATAAATCTAAATATTTATAACATTATTTAAAGTATTAACTTAAAATAATCTTATAGAATATAGATGATAAAATTCTTAAATATTAAAGATAATAATTATACAATCTTAATAATATTGATATATTTTTTTATAATTTATAATTTAAATTATAAGTAATAGAATAATTTAATTATATAAATATTACTTGTCTTAAGATAAATTAATAATTTACTAAATATACTTTATAAAAATGTATAAAAAATATAATATTATTAATATTTAAAATAGTTTTAATTCAAAATTAAATAAAATTAATAATAATAATTGATTATTTAATGTTTTAATATATAGAAATGCTATGATTAACTAAAGTATTTAACTTTCTATATTTCTATATATAATTATGTAATTTAAATTTTAAAATTTTTTTTTAAAAATTTTGAAAATTTGAAATTATTATAGAATGATTATATAATATAAATATGTATACAGTTTGCGTCACCTATATTCTACATAAATCTTACTTAATTTTGAAACTTTATAACTCTTAAAGTTCAAGTGTTACAAAAAATATAAACTACAAATATGAAACTTTGAGATATAAAGAACAATTTTTGTGGCATATTTTTTTCTGAAAATAAACTCATCAATAATTATAAGAGTTTGAAAACAGGTTATATTATTATTAAATTCAGGTATTCAGAACTTCAATTTTGGCCAGAATTAGCTGAGATTTTATAATTCTAGCCAAAATCAACGTAATCACGTGAAATATTGTGAAATGCTTTCATTATGATAATTAATGAGATATATGCATATCTACAGATATTTATGTAACATTCGTATAATTTGTAATTTTTCGTACCATTTCCTCTTATTTTATTATACCATAAAGGAATTTTAATGTTTTGTAATTGGCTTTCCATTAAAGCTTTTATTGCTTTCGGGCAATATTTTTTTTTGATGTTTACTCAGATTTCTTTAAAATCTTCTTTTCATATTATCAGTCAAAGAGATTTTCTCATTAATATTTATCAAACATGTGATTATTGTTTCACACAGAGATGCTGTAACTGAAAAGACTTTATAACAATACTACAACTAGAAGACTATTAGGAGGAAGTTGTGGTTTCCTAAAATAAATGGATCAAAAAGTTAAAACAAACAAAATAAAAATTGGTTGAATAAAATAAATGTATAATTCCAAAAGTTGATATACAATTATGTAATGGAAAGTTTTACCAGCAGTTTTTTTGTTTGATAAATTGTATTATTTGAATAAATTTGTCTTTGGATTATATTCGCGTTCACTTGAGTTTTTATTTGTATTTGTGACGAAGGTTACAGATAATCTATGTATTTATAGATAAATAAATCCAGATCTAATTAGCATTTTTTCTTTTTGAAAAAATGGGTCATTTATCAAAAAAATATTGCATTGCTTTAACAAAATCTCATGCTACTGATGGCACTTTTATTGCTGAAACTCAGGATGAAACAAATTTTGAAAAAGAAACTGAAGGTGCTAAAGATTTAGAAGTTGAAGATTGGAATAATAATGATGATAGTGAATGGGAAGAGGATATCGATTTAAAGTTAGCAGAAACTAATTATAAAAGGCTTTTAAATTTAGAATTAGTATGAAAAAAAGATGCTTATTTAGAAAAAAAAACACGCAGACCATATTTAACAAGGTCAACTAAAAAATCTATATTTGGGAGGTTTGCTATTAAAATCGAGTTATGAACATAGTAAATCATATGATCCGTAATGTGATTTTAATAGCTTACCTCCCATTTTATGATAATTATGGACTAAGTGGAAAATGGACTAAGGCTGCAGAAAACACACTAAAATTAACTAGTTTTTTAGCTTAAAAAATAAAGAAATAGTTAAAGGTGAAACAGATGATAAAAAAATTTTTATAGATGACGAATATGTATAGAACTTTAAAGAAATTGAAATTAAAGTTAAAAATTTAAAAGAAGAACTAAAGATCAATCAACATAAAATGTCAGTAATTGAATACAATAAAAAAAGAGCAATATTTGAAATGTTAAAATGAGTTAAAAAAGATGGAAAAGGATTAATAAAAGCTAGTACAGAAGCTGCGGAATTAGTTTTTATATATTGTCATTCATATAAAATGTGATGTATTAGAGTTTGGGTAAAATATTGGCTTCAAAATGCTCAACTTCCACCAACTTTCAAGATAAACATCAAAAAATCATTCGATTGATTGATGATGAAGATATATCAGAAAAATGTCAAATTTGAATTCGAAGTCAGAGAGGACACACAACACCAATAAAATTTAAAAAGTTTGTTGAACAAGCTCTTTTATCAGAAACTGGAATTACTAAACAAAAAACTATTTCTAATTCTACAGCAAGAAGATGGTTAAATGTGTTGGGTTTTTTTATCAACAACAAAAACAAGAGTATATTTTGATAGGCATGAAAGAGATGATGTAGTGGAATATTGAAAAACATTTTTAGAAGAAATTGCTAAATATGAACCATATATAGCAAATTATGATGGAGAAACAATGGAGAGAATTCTACCAAATCTTAAGAATAATGAAAAAGAACATATTTTGGTAACACATGATGAATGTATTTTTTATTCAAATGATGGTAAACGTGGTGTGTGAGCAAAAACAGGTGAATTACTATTGAGAAAAAAAGGAAATGGTCGATCAATTATGATAAATGAATTTTTAACAGAAGCATGTGAACGGCTTAAATTAGATACTCAAGCAATTGAAAATTATCCTGATGTTTCAAAGGAATCACATGTTTATTTAATTCCTGGAAAAAATCAAGAAGGTTATTGAACAATGAACTATTTATTAGAACAAGTAAAATCAAAAGCAATTCCAATCTTTGAAGCATTATTTCCTAATTGTATTGCTATATTTACATTTGATAACAGTTCAAATCATGCTGCATTTTTACCAGATGCTCTTATAGCAAGCAAAATGAATCTTTTTCTAAGTAGAAAGCAACCAGTAATGCGAAGTACAACTTGAGAAAAAAATAATTATCAAGATATGTGCTTTCCAAATGATTATTTTAATGAAAAATTATGCGGAAAACTTAAGGGAATGAAACAAGTACTTTTAGAAAGAAGAAAATAAAAGGATGGTTTAAAGGCAGATTGTCAGTTATGTAAAGTAGGAATAAAGATTCTAATCAGATTGATTGTTGTGCAAGATGAATTATATCCTTAGAATCAGATTTTATAGCTCAGAAAGGTGTATTACATGAAATTATTTCAAAAGCAGGTCACAAATATATCTTTTATCCTAAGTTTCATTGTGAGTTAAATTTTATTGAAATGTATTGGAGAGCTACAAAAAAATTTACACGTGAAAATTATGATTACTCTTGGGCAGGTTTACAAAAAACAGTTCCTTTAGGTTTAGATTCTATTAATTTAATTACAATTAGGAAAT